TCATAGAGGATCACAGGAAAATCCACATGGATGCGGGGGGTATCCAGCTTCACGATGCCCTGAGGAATCAGGTTCTTATGCACTCGCCTCAGCTTGGCCCGCTTCTGCCCATTCTTGGTGACGATTGTCTCCTCGTAGAACTCATGAGCCAGATCCCCATCTTCGTCATAGAACATGGAGCCGTGGCGCGTGAAGACGCAAGGGGGCACGGGGCGACCTCGCTGCCGCACCAGAGCTTGCTCCGCTCCCGCCCCCGCCGCTGAGACGAAGGGGCCACAGGCCCCGAGCTTTGGAACCGCTGGCGCCCCTGTCAGGGCCGCGGGCGCATGGCGAGCCCCCAGGTCTCTGCGCTCTCACAGAGCCCGGCCTCGGCCTCCGCTCGCAGGTGCCGCCGTCGCCTTCCGCTGGCTCGACCGTCTCGATCAGGTCAAGTTTGAAAAAGGGATGTATTTCCTTATTCTTCTGATGCCCATCTGCACGTACGTTGGGATCTGTGATTGGAAGAACTCATTGAAAAGCTTATGTTTTTCCAAGTACTCAAGGTTAGGAAATAGCCTGTGGAAGCTGGCAATTGTATCATTCTTTTGGGAGCCCAGCGTTCATTAGAAAAACTGTGGTACCTGAAATTCCTGGATTTCCTGTAGATTGATGTGAGCCATCAATCAGTACTGTGGTTTTTTTCCCCCTCTACATATCATGACAGCTCCTCCCAGTAGCAGACCGCTGTACATCCCCTAGAGCAGAGAGGGGGGTCTGAGGGTCTGTGTCTTGACCAGGGACACTGAAGGAGAACCACAGGGAATCTTGAGAGGATAGAGCAGGGACGAGCAGCACAGCTTGGTGTGGCTCAGAGATGGAGGAAACCAGGACACTGACAGGTGGGAGGGCAGGTTTGCAAGTGAGAAGCTTTGCTACCAGCAGGGCAGGATATGACACCCTGTCTGCTATCAGGTTTAAAGGCAACTCTGTTGATGCTGCAGTGTGTAAATGTCCTCTTCTGCATGATTGCCTCCTCTCTATAATGTGTACATAAGTGAACTGAACATGAATAAAGTAATGGGAAACTATTTTGTCTTGTTCTTGTTGTTGTTGTTATATGCCGTCGAGTCATTTGTGACTCATAGTGACCCTATGTACAACAGCCCTAAACCCTGCTCT